TTGTTTATTTCCGATACTGTAGACACTTGTATTTGAAGCATGACTGCTGGGGGGTACCAAAATTTCTTAAATTGTCCTCACTACAGTACCATGTGTCCTGTCAGATATTTATAACTTTAATCTAATTCAGATAATGACTTAAGTTATTTTTTTAGATTTAACATAAAATACAACATTCCAGCAGCATATGCTGAACTTTTATTAAAAGTTTAAATTATTCATTTGTTCATTCTGAAAATGATTAAAGCTCAGTAAAGAGGTTAGGTATTTCACACTTGACGTCAGAATTTACAACGCAATGTTTTTGTAATAGCACAAAACTATTAACATTTAAGAAATACAAAATCAATTTAATTAATTAATCTCAGAAGAAACATGCATTAATTGTTAATATTAGAATGGCTGATTGATGGACAACCACTGAACAAAGAAAATAACCAAATAAAGTGTTTGTTGGTGCCGTCCAGGTTTGATTGTCGTCCGGTTTTAGTGGTCTCCAACCAGTTAAGTGTGGCAGTCAGGTCACTAAAATGGCCGGCACATTGTTAATTGGGGCGCATGGTCAGTGGAGCGGATTGTTATATTATCATAACTGTCCTGAACATGCCTCAGACAACACTATTTTTCCAGATCTGCTTGATTTCAAGATTGTAATCTTTTCTCCTTTTGACCACTTTTAAACAACTCTTTTGAACTTTCTTGGTATTTTTGACGAGCAAACACGTCTACGTTACCACAACCTGGCAGTTAACTTCAGTCAGTTGAAGGTGGCCAGTATATTGGAAGAAGAGAAGAAGAAGAAGACAAGGGTCTTAACATTACAGGCAGGCTTGACAGGTGCGCTGACAAAATTTGAAACATAATCTTTACAAAACAATGTCACACACAGACACATATCAAAATGATCTATTACAATATAATGCATATTATTTGAATACATGGTGAATTGACATATATAAAATTGTACAAACCCAAAACAACTATTCTTCGAAAAAAAAAATCTGCAAATCTTGTTGTTGCTTGGGCAATGTAAACTTCCGGATAAACTAATTCCCGTTTTAAACGGTATGATATTCCGCATCGACGTACGTCAGGGCGGACCATGGGACAGTACGGACCGTACCAGGGCAGCCCGTATGTTTGGACGGGGCGGACCATATTTTGGGACAGGGCGGACCGTGACTAGAGACGAGACGGACCATGTATATTTTCAAATTAAATATTGCTATTTAATTTTCTATATATATTTCGGCATCATTATCATCCTAACATGTCGTATATATACTGTAAGCATTTTCATATTGAACAGATTTGTATTTAAAAATCTAAACATCGATCTAATACTAGTTAGATCTACATATGTATGTATTAATCATGTGCACACGACATAAGGCGGATTGTGGATTAATCTAACTTTATATTTAATATTATAGATATTGACCCATACAATTATAAGTATAAAATAGGTTGTGTAAGCTAATTATGGGAATGGTTTGAGAATACATCTACATATATAAAACATGTTTTCCTTTTGCGCTAATGTTAATATAAACTTGAAACAATTACCTTAATTGTAATATTTTTTATATATACCATTCATAACATTTTAGCTGTATAGAGGAATATAGATTATTTATATTACTTAATTACAATATGAAAACAAAGAAATAATTGATATACAATGTATATTAATTCACTAAACAGACATCATCTTAATTAAGGCAGAGCACAAAAACCAATTCTAATAAAAACTAATTCGTCAAAGAATCAAATTTAAAGGAGAATTCAACACAAGTCAACCAGGCGCATGCAGTTAAATTTCATGAAATTATGGCTATAATATTCCAACAAGACATAAAATTTTTTATAGCTGTGCAAGTCGTTATGACCCTGTGTAATTATGGGTGTAAATATGAATATATGAATGACCGAATATATATTCAGTGAAAATATCTATATACATGCGGCTGCTTTTGTATAAATGTTCTTCGTTACATGTTTGTGTATCTGTAAAGAAATAAGTGAGATGCCATTCTTAAATTTTGGGGCATCTCCTTAATTTTATACTACAATGATTGACAGGCCTTATGCTCCCATACAAACTGTTGCTTCACAAACAGCTTCCTGTCTCATATCCTTGCATTAAAGCAAACCAACTTTCTATATTTCTGTCAAATTCATTACATTTTTAATATATTTTGTTGTTTCAAGAGCATTCGTTGTTTAAACTCATCTTTATATATTAAACACTTCTTCTTGTTGAAGTGTAGTGGTTATAACAAGTTTGCGCTGGCATTTTCTTTTTTACTTTCATATAATTATGCAATAACCTGCTGAAATTCTCTAATGCACTTTTTCCAGAATCCAGTTATGAAACTGTTCAAATTTTGGGGATATTCAGGTTAAAGTTTAGGTCAGCCTGTTAACAGTCTGGTCAGAAAGCACTGTAATTGTGACGGGACTGTCATTCTGAGTTATTAAACTAAGCAATGGAATTATGTGTTTTAGTGATAGCATAGCTATCTTGTAATGTAGCAATTTATTCTTCAATGGTTTGTTAAGAAATACTGACCTACATAGAGATAAGTTAATACATGTATTTCAGTCAGAATTTACTGACTTGTGTAAAGACGAAAGTTGTCAACTGCTTCTAGTAACAAACGGTAAAATAAAACACAAACAAAGAAGTTTTTCAATCAACACTTTATATAAATATTGAAAAAACAACAACAACAAAATTACAAAAAGCATTACCAAATATATAAAGGAAAAGAAAAATGAAAACATCTGAACTAAACTTTCTGTAATATAAAGTAAACAAAATCCATTTTTTTAATCAATATAGAAAAACTAAGGAAATGACAACAACATCAAGAAGCAAAAATATGAAAAAAACACATGAATCATAATAAGCTACAAGATGGACACCAAAAATAACTTGTGTGAGATTGCATTATACGGTTTTTATGGAGATCATATCTTACAAAACCTAAATTGGGAATTATAAAGCCCACAAAAGCTTAAAAGCTACATGCCTCCAGGTGAGTAAAAATATTTCAATAAAATCAAACTTGAGAAAAATGTAATAAGATGTAAGGAAAAATAAAAGTTTCAAGATTAAAGTAATATTTTACATATTATGTGCGATTAATGACTGATTTTTCAGTATTTACAACTATATTTCTACTGCGTTACTTAAACGCAGTAAAGGCTATTTATGCATATTTTGACCACTTTTGGTAATTAACGTGGTTTGTACCATTTGATAACATGTCAATTGCTTCCTTTTGGTAACTATACAATATTACACATTCAAATACATTTTCAAAATTTTCATGAAAATTAGCATGAATCTGGAGGCGTGCTGCTTTAAATCATACACAAGTTATGATTCTTGGACAGCTACAGAATTTTATATATGATAACATGTATATACCTGTGTAATAGGATGGCTATTTACGATAATCTAAGTTAACAGTTAATCTATTTATGTATTGTCCAGGTCAAGCAAATATAACCGGCAAGACAAACTTGTTTGGTATGAGATAAAACACAACAATTAGGTTGAATGAAATAGGGCATTTATTAAATGTCATAAATGACAAATGTTACATAATAACAAACATGGCAATCAATATTTGTATCGAAATAACCAAACTGGGAGGTAAAAACCGCCAGATTATGATAATACATTGTAGTCTAATGATTAACCACAAAATCAAAATAAACTTTCAAATAAATTAACAATCTTAGCAAAAGTTATAATAGATGACAAAGTTGAACCAAAAACCACCTAAACAAATAGAATAATATGAATTGCTGATCAAAACAATTGACAAAACTATCACAGTGACGTGGTGAGCTATTGTGATCGCTTTTTGTCCGGCGTCCGTCTGTAAACTTTTTCTTTGAAAGACAACTCCTCATAACCTGCTTAGTCAATTTCATCCAAACTTCACAGGGACGTTCCTTTGGTGGTCACCTTTAAATTCTAAATATATAAAGACTGCCCCACTCATTTTATAAATTGAAAGTTACAGATACATTCCGACAGAGACATATATAACAGAGATAAGCAGCTCCTATATACTCCATTGAAATATCACTCATGCCAATGAAAAAACGAAAAAATAGGCATTTTGTAGCAAATAAAACTTAATGGATGTACATTTGATCCTTTAATATTATATACCATTTGAAAGGTGAATCTTTTATATCTATTGCTGCATGTTAAAATATTGGTACAATGTAACTTTCCATACCCACTGAGCCAGTTTTTTCGTCATATGAATAGTTTTGTAGTTCTCTTTAAAAATTGATGTATCATTTATTTCTTCTTCTTCCAATACTGTACATAACCCACTCTGGGGCATTGACGTACAGGGTGTATGTACAAAGTGTTGTGCGGCGAATAAGTGCAGATTTGAAAGAAGAACATGTTAGGGCCCCATGACTAGTCCTCCCTTGAAGGCCTCAAGGTTGACTGCTGTGGCTAGGTGCTCTGGAAGCTGGTTCCACAGGCGGATGACCGAAGGTACAAAGGAGAACTTCATGGTGTCTGTTCTGCAGAATGGGACATGGAATCTGTGTCCGTAGCCATGGCCACCAATTTAAATGGGAACTGTAAATATTTTTACCTGCAGCCATAGACAAATGCATAAGCTTTCAGAAAATATAGTATTTTACTGATTTTGATATCTGGTTAATAAGTTTTACTTGCTACAAGTTGGCACGCGTGACATTTTAACTGGCTAGAAAGTTGCCTATCTCTGTTATCTACGTCTCTGATTCCGACGGATAATTACACACACAAAAGCAAAGAAACATCAATATTCAAATATTATTATTTCATTAAAGCGCGGTCCGCCTCGTCTCGAGTCACGGTCCGCCCTGTCCCAAAATACGGTCCGCCCCGTCATAACTGGTACGGTCCGCCCTGTCTCACGGTCCGCCCTGTCCGTAATTCTTCCGCATACGGGATATACTGGCAGCACTATTTCAAAATACTTATCCTATTTTTTTCCTTAAAGCACAATTTAATTTTGTTTTAACAAATTTCATGAAAAAGTCCTATTTCATATATTGTTAAAATTATCAATTATAAAAAAATTTAGGAGGAATGACCTTGTTTCTTTGCTAAATTTAGACAACAGATGCTTGTGACGTCATGATTTAAAAATGGCTGCTCTCTTCGGACACGGGAATCCTCTTTCAACTCCAGTTGGCCAATTAATTGGTAATAATTGTTATTGATACATGTGCAGGGTGTTGATTTGATGTATAATTGGTTAGGCTTGCTTATTGACAGTTGAAAAAAATTCCTCAATACTATTTTTCAACGAAATGGGTGTTGCCTGTCAAAATTTTACCTGACAAAACGTAAACAATAACAAAAAATGGCAGCACACTCATACTCATGTGATATTGAATCCCAGACGCTTGCAAAATATACTGTCAAAAATCATGATACAAGTAGTTATTTATTAAAATATTTTTGTATTTGGTGATTAGTCTGTATTATAATGTATCTTCCATTAATGATTTTGTAGAACTTTTAGATACTGTATATTATTTCTTCCATTCAAACCCCTGCAGGGGACCTAGTTGTAGGCCAACACATTGTGCCACAGGGTTCTTTGAAATATATATATACAACTGACATATATGTTATATTAGATGTAACATCAGTCCGTCTTGCAGGCAAAATATTGAGACTAGACCTGGCAGTGGTCTTTGCGCATGATTGTTCATTGTTGACTCCTCAGTCCTGTTAATAGGAAGATTAAAACAATGTCAAAGTCAAGGCAGGTGTTTTTAGGATGACACATGTTCACTGCTGGCGTATAGTCTAGTCCAAATATTTTGACATACCAAAGCTTGATACTAACTTACTAAGATAACTTTCTTCTGGGTCAAAATCTGACTAAAGATACTGCCCATTCACAAAATTACACAATATGTGAAAATGTCAACAAAGTACAGACTCATGGTTACATGGTATCACAGGAGTGAGACCTCAAAGAGATGACATTATAGGTCATATAGTGACATTAGGATAATAAAGATAAATCATTTTTCCGACAACTGATTGGGTCTCTTTCTAGTCTCATAATTAAGCATGATGACATGAATCTTAGGGATTTCAATATTTCAGCATGCTGACATGTCTTCTTTAAGGATTCTGTATTTCTCTATTACATAGATGACTGCCTTTACGATAAGACTGTCATAATAAAAAACCCTGGAGCACACTTTGTTGCGTCAAGTTCTCTTTCCTAATTAAAAAGATTATTTTTTGTCACTCAAATATATTTACATATCTTTTACATTGTAATTCAAATATATAAAATTGTTTAGAAATTTGAATTGCTCTGTGGAGTTGCTAAATCTTCAAATTGCAAAAATAACAAATTAAAGTCATTATCAGCTGATTTTGTTTTTTGTTTTGCTTAAATGTCAATATATACATATATACATCTATCTTATAAAATTGCATTATAATTATTACCTCCATTTATTATGAAACTATTAGGGCCATTCATAAAGTTCCAGAACTGGGTGCTATCTAAAAAAATTATATATCCAGTATGTCCTATAACATATTTCCAATAAAATTTGGATAATTAACTTTAAATTTAAAAGAATTTTTTTTTATTCAAGTTAACATTACATTGGCAATATCACACTAACAAAGTTATAGAGCACATTGATGTCCCTCTTAAATGAAATCATATGTTCTATTCATCTAATCTGTTGTTTTTTTGAGTTTTTTTGTGTGTTTTTTTCAAATAATTGCTGCCAAAATGTCATAATAGTAATTATACTTACCGGTAATAATCTAACATCGCCAGTACCATAGCTGTACAACATATTGAATTTGATGTCATACAATAATTTACCATGTAACTGTCATGGCAATTGCCCAATTACCCTTGCCTTAAAAAATTTGATATCACTAGTTATGGCCCTAGTCCGGGAACTTTATGAGTGGCCCTCATACTTGACTTTCTCTTACCTGATGCCTAATGAATAATGTCTTTTACATTTCTGTTTAGCTTATTATGCTAGTATCAGTGATATTTCATAATATAAGCTAGTAATTCTATCATGCCCTCTGTCTGTAGACTGACAACTGTGAAATCATGTTGGGGCATCCTTGTCCTATTGATGCATTTCTAATTCATTTATATGTTCCATAGCAACACCCGCACCATATTTTATTAGATCCATAAATCTAGGCCCTATAGTTCCAGTATAATCCACATTTTGAAGTTTCGGAATTTACTTATTTATTTTAATTTTTACTTTTGTCTTATAATCTCTGTAAATGTTGAATGGACTGTTTAATTTAAAGTAGAACTGGGGCAAATGGTTCATAATTACGTTATTAATGTTTAAAATTTAAATTCTTAAAACTAAAAGTGTTTGTAAAAATGTTCAAACAAAAAAAGCAAAGGTAAAACATGGTATAATTATAGTAAATTGATGAATGATCATTATCTAGTAAAGTTAACACTTGTTGTCTCATATATATGTTGATAAATGAGGTAAATCCAATTACTTTTGTTTTATTGTACTATATTCAGGTGTGTAAAGTGTTGTTTATGACATCACAAGGTTTTAAAAATAGTTGTAATATTGCATATAATAATGTCTAATTACCAATACTGTATTGGAAATAAATTGCTTTGTTTTACTAATAAAATGTGGTTAATATTTACTTTACATGTACTGTGTAGCGTATTGACCTGTTACTTGTCCTAGTATGATTATATAATGTTTATGTTTGATATGATTTTTTTTATCAATCAAAGATATAGTTTTTTAAATCAATCAAGGAAATTAAATCTGATATGCTTATTGTTTTCTGTGTATCAAATAGATAATTTCTCTGGTTCTTGATTTTTAAGTCGGCAATCAATTGTGTTATCTGTTATAGTGACATGGAAATTTTGAAGTCTGTAACAACATATTTGTATTCTGTTATTGTAGAGAAATCTACAGATGGAACTCAGCCATCGGAAAACTGGGCCTTGTACATGGAAGTATGTGACAAAATTAATGAAACAGATGAAGGGTGAGTAGGAGTTGGATCCAAGGAATACATATGAATTGGTCCAGAAAAGAAAAAAAAAGATTTAAAAGTACCTGTAAAACTTTACATACCAAAAATGAAAAAGACTTAATTAAACATATTAGGATTGAAATTGACCATCACAAATTTTAACAAAAACTTGTATGTTAAATTACTTGACAAAGACTTTAATAGCCAGAATGTAGCTCTCACATTATATGCCATGTTGTTACAACAATAATGAAGGAAATGAAAAACTTTAGAAAAACCAACTTTCTTAAGAATTGCATATAGGATAATCTTTGATAGTTTTATAATTTGATTTTCAATCTGGTGATTTTCATCCCAGGATGACATTTTCCATAGAAGCATACTAGTGAAAACATTTTTAGCTCGACTATACGAAGTATATGGAGAGCTGTCCTACTCGCCCCGGCGTCGGCGTCGGCGTCCCCGTCCGCGTCCAGATTTTAGATTAAAGTTTTGGTGCAGTAAAATATTTTTCACTATAACTTTGTCATTTCTTAAGGTATCAACTTCAAACTTCAAATATATGTTCCTTATCATCAACCACATCTTATGTGACAAGGTTCATAACTCTAGCACCAATATTTTCAGATTTATCTCCCCTTGAACTTAGAATTTTCCTTAAAAAATACTATTTTTTTACTGATACTTCTTTATTTCTTAAGGGATCAACCTCATACTTCAAATATATGTACCTTATCATCATCCCCATCTTATGTGACAAGGTTCATAACTCTAGCACCAATATTTTCAGATTTATCTCCCCTTGAACTTAGAATTTTCCTCAAAAAATACTATTTCTTACTGTTTCTTCTTTGTTTCTTAAGGGATCGACCTCATACTTCAAATATATTTAGGTTATCATCATTCCCATCTTATTTGACAAGGTTCATAACTCTAGCACCAATATTTTCAGATTTATCTCCCTTTGAACTTAGAATTTTCAATAAAAAATATTATTTTTTACTCTAACTTATTTATTTCTAAAGGGATCAACTTCATACTTCAAATATATTTACGTAATCGTCATCCACATCTTATGTGACAAGGTTCATAACTCTAGCACCAATATTGCAAGAATTATCTCCCCATAAACTTAGATTTATTTACTAAAAAAATGTTATTTTTTATTTTAACTTTTTTATTTTTAAAGGTATCTACCTCAAACTTCAAATACTCATTAATTACATTTTATGTGACAATGTTCATAACTCTTGAAGCAATATTTACAGATTTATCTCTCTTTGAACTAAGGATTTTCTTTAAGAAATATAATAACTTCTTTACTTTTTAAGGTATCTACTTCAAACTTCAAATATATATTTCTTATCATTACACAAATGTTGTGTGGCAAGATCCATAACTCTAGCGTGACTATTTCTATAATTATTCCCCTTGATCTTGGAATTTATGTTAACAAATGTTATTTTTTAATATAACTTAATACGTAATTATACATTATTGATTTTTCTTTCATAGTTTTGTCCTCCTTACTGCGTCCAGTATTTTATTAGTCGAGCTTCGCTGTCTCCTGTGACAGCTCTTGTTGTAATTCTTTTGTTTACATTTTTTTAAATTAAGCTAAAAGGGAAATAAAAAAATCTATACTAATTTATGTTACAGTCCAAAAGATGCTGTCAAGGCATTTAGAAAAAGACTAAACCAGAATATGGGCAAAAACCATACAGCTGTTTTATACACATTAACAGTAAGTAGTGAATTGACTGCTAATTTAGCTAGCGTGTGGCAATACTGACCAGAATAAAGACTTGTCATATTTGTATATGTATTCTGAACAGATTCTACTATGTGTGCACATGTATTTTGTTCATCCTGCAGATATAAACTGTGTAAATGAACACTGATTATTTCCATACATCTATAAACTTAGCTTATTGTGGCAATTTACATGTAGCTGTGACTGCCTCTGTGGTTGAGGGGTTAGAGTCGATGACTTCTAATCCAGTTACCTCTCTGGCGTGGGTTCGAACCCCGGGAGATGCTTTGGTAGTTTAGCGCGGAGGAAGGTAGTCTTGTACTGGTGTAACTCTCCAGGAACGATGGTTAGGAAACTACCCGCCTATATGACTGAAATACCGTTGGGAAAAGTGTAAAATGAAACAAACAAACAAACTGTAGCTGTATGAAAGTGTTGTTTAGTTACAGTTGATTCTTTCTCAGAAATATCTCTCCATACTGTATTCTTGTAGACAGATATTGTCAGTTCTCATTAGACTTTTAATCAACCACAATTTGTGAAAGCTATTTTATTTTTAACAAGAAAATTATTGATGTGTTGAGTATGGTGTTTTATTCCACGTCAAATTTCCAGGTAAAAATGAAAGGTTGGAATTTAAAGACTGCTATTTTATACAAACATTTGCTACCTGTTTTACCCTTACATCTCATAATTATAAACATTTTAGCTAATGGTGATTCAAGACTTATTGATATTCTTATTTCAAAATGATAAAATTTTGCTGGACAGAGCTAAACTACAAAATTTAAGTTATTGACTATTGCACAGAAAATACAAATTTCCTCAAATTTTAACTCTTCACAGTGTTTCTTGGCCTTCTGTATGAAATTGAATCACTTATCTTAATTTCAAGTTTAATACTGGAATGACACTCTGTGTTTATTTGCAACAGTGTTTAGAGGCATGTGTCAAGAATTGTGGCCGCAGACTTCATATCCAAATAGCCAACAAAGATTTTCTCAATGATATGGTAAAGGTGATAGGACCGAAGTATGATCCCCCACAAGCGTTACAAGAGAAGGTTCTCAGTATGATACAGGTACACTAACTTTTATTCTTCTTCTGACTCTATAGTCATATGTTAATAGATTCATGATGTAATTGTTATTTGTATTGGTATATTTAACCCTTAGCCTGCTGGCAGCTGCTGCTTCTAACCAGGCACTATAATATATGTCTAACTTGAAGGACACAAGCCAATAGAAATTTTAACAGTAACCAAGAAGTACACTTTTAAAACTGTCAATTTATATAATATTGATTTAATGGAAGATTTAGTGTTAGATGTAAGGATGAATAATGTTGTTACTATTGTTTTAGACATGGGCAGATGCATTCAGAGGGTCACCAGACATGAAGGATGTTGAGAAAGTTTACCAAGATTTAAAAGGAAAAGGCATAGAATTCCCAATGACTGATTTAGATAATCTAGCTCCAATACACACTCCAGCAAGGGTATGTTATATTGTGACCAAAGTTATCTTCCCTGATATATTATTACATAATTATATAATACCATGAATACTTGGCATAAATATAAGGAATTGTTTGTTCTTAAAAATATTCAATTTTGGTTAGCACTTTTTAGCTTAGATTATTGAAAAAAAGCTTAAAGAAGTTTTGAAGATCAGTTTTAGTTGAAAATCTCTTGATATACTTTGTTTGCATAACTCAAAATTTCTTAGATGTTTATAGCCCCACCACATCATGTGGAAGGGGCTATGATGGAATCATTATGCCAAAGCGGTTAATCAGTTGGTCAGTCTGTGGCTATCCTGTCAAATTTATAAATCCTGTACCCCTTGAAGGATTTTCTCCAAACTTGGCTTAAATGTTCACATCAGCAAGGCAATATGTAGCTGCTGTTCATGCTCCAGGTCAAATGTTGAAATTCTATATGGCCATTGAATTCTTTCAAATAAGGTAGCTATCTATCTGGCTGCAAGAATCATAGTGGATTTACTTAAAGTAATCACTCATTCCTTAAATAGAGAACACATTAGACATATGGTTTTATTTCTACCTATAAAGCTTGATGTATAATTGTTTTCTTAGCAGTGACAGCTTTACCTTAAACTTAATTATACTTAAAACATTATTTTATACTGGTAGAATATATGTTGTTTTAAAGAACAAAAGTGTTCGGACACTTATCCTTACATTATACAAGGAGTTAAATTCTTCTTTTTTTTCAGTGTAAACTTGAACTGAGCAAGTGCTCAGTTTATAAAATTTAAAATATCTATATTGTAAATTTGTGTTATACATGAAAAGTATATTTTTCATTTCTGCTTACCTGTATGTTTAATTAAACTTCAAGGTAATTTTCAATGCTTTCTAGAATTTTAATATCTTATTTATTAGAAAAGTCTGATGTAAATATCCAATACTAATATTGGATGGCATGTCATAAAATGTGTTTATATTATATAATAACTTTTTATTACTCTTTCCATTTTGATATTCATCATTATATACATGTTGATGAGGAAAGAAATTAAACTTGAGACTACTGAGTCATGCTTGTGTCATATTTCTATTATGTTTATCTGTCATATAGAGGGATAATATACTTTGTGCCATATATAATCACAGGCTATCTGCCATATAGGAGTGTAATTGCTTTATTCACAGAAAGTTCACATTTATATGCAAAAAATATATCCCTTTCTTATAGAGATTGAAATTGATTTTTGTTAATTTGATATTTGTATTTTACTGTATTGGTATAATTATGTTGAGTGATATTTTTGGTTTTATATATTAAGTGTTTCTGTTTCTGTGTGTGTACACATGTTATAGTTTTATTATATTTTAGACACAAGGTGGTTTTGATCCAGAACCAATTACTAGAAGTAGAGGCAGTACCACCAATAGAGCAGTTAGTATCACAACCTTTATTTCTTCACTAAAATGCTTTGAAAATACACTTGTTACACTGAAACAATAAATTTTGTTGAGTTAATTTAAAAAGGAAATTTAAGACTCAAAAAGCATATTTCAGCAGCTCTGTATATAATGCATCAGCTTCAAGCTTGTTACCATATTGAAATAAAATTAAAGAAAATTGATTAATTTTTTATGTAAATGGAGTGATGGAGTGATGGCAAATCGGTATGTCTTCAAAGTATTTTAATATACATGTATATACATATTCTTTTTTTAATGTTGCTTATAAATCCACAACACTCACATTGCACTTTGCATTTTGAATTATTGATTTATTTGTTATAATTTTGCACATAATGTAAGAAATTTCCTGGTCTGTTGTAGTCAAGATTTATCTGATGACTCATATACAATCACAGTGAAATATATATATTTTAGGAAGAATAAGTCCAGTATATTTTATGCGAGATAAACAATACAGGGATATAAATAATTAATATTTTAAATGACAATGCGATTTGGGACCATTTTAGGATCTAATTTGATCTTTTTCCCTCTCCAAAAAACATATTTCCCCATTATTTCTGGAAGAAAAAAACCTCTTTTATCTGTTTTTGAGTAGGAAATAGAGGGGCATGGTAGTCTGAGAAGATAATGATATTCCATCACAAACTGTAATATCCATTTAATTATTTCTTCTTTTTCCCCCTGCAACACAATTTCCCCTCTGCATTGGCCCAGCCACCATTTCTCTAATAAAAGTGTGAGAAAAAAAACACTGAAAGATAATAAAAACTGTCCCTAAATTTAATCTCAGTAGCAAAAAAAGAATCATTGTCAAATTTAAGCGCCTAAGATGTACAACAAAGTAAAGGAAAATATACATCCTGCTTTCTTTAACAGGTGTAGGAATTACTTCACAAACTTCTTCTTCAGCCTAGATACCTAAAAATCCCAGTTCAAGCTATACAAATAGACATTTACACCAGTATGTCTCTTCATTTTTGTCTAGTTTTGTTTACATTTCTTTAAAGTTGTTTTATCACTTCCTTGTAGTTTAAATTATCAATTATTTTTATCATTAGTCAGCCTACGTTGTTGAAGATGAAGATGAGGTTATGGAGGTGGTTTTATATTTATTGTTTTATTATCATTGTGAGGCCCTTATGGGTTTTGTTGATATGTATTATTTTTATGTTGTTTGATATTAATGATGGCTGAGTTACAAAGATGTTGAGACTATGTTATATATGTTGTCTTTTAGAAAGTGTGAGGCCCTGATCCAGGATATGACCAATGTATTTTTTGGATTGATTAATTGTTGTTTTATCTTTGTGAGGTTATACTCTGTTTCTGTGGTATATTCTGTGATATAAAAATTGTTTTTTTATGTTGTTCGGCTATTTTATCTATGAAGTTACGGAACTACAATCATTATGTCATTTAAAGCTGACAGAAAACTAAATGTTTCTGATTTATTTTTAAAAAAGACAGATGTTTCAATCTTAATAATAAATTTAAAGATCATCTTCTCAAACAAACTCAGAATTCCTCCCTTGTAAAGATTAAGAGAAAACCTTACCAGCACTAAAGATACATACAAAAAACCCACCCCAAAACATGGGACAACTTTTTCCATTGAATATCACTAAATTTGGTGTATAATATTCTTTGATGTTTTTATTTCAAATTGGTTCCCATTCACTGCATTAGGTCATCGGGTAAAGCAAATTACTTGTACATGTATTAACATTTCAATGTTTGATACAGTCTCATCTAAATCATTTGGTCAGTTATCTTACATTGGCCCCATTAGGAACTTAAAATAGAAATTACCTTGAATAATGATGAGTTTCACTCTTTCACATTTTGCCTCCCTTCAAGCTTAATATTTATTTTGGTGAGTGATTTAAAATCATCATGTCCATCTTGTTATACATGTATATGTAGTACACACTTATTATGTAATTGTACTTTTGTTGTGATTTTTTTCATTTTCAATACAATTCTTTTATAAGCTTTGTTTTAAGTTTTAATTAGAGTTTTTAATTATACATTGTTCTATGTTTTCATTTAAAATATTTTTTGTTTGATCCATAGTGTTTCTTTTATTATAGTCATTATTTCATTATTTTTTATTTATTTAAATTATTTTCTTTAAAGTTTTAAAGAGACATAATGAGAATGGTCTGTTTGTTGTAGTCGTCAGTACGAAACACTGGTCAAGTTATTTCCCCTGCTCCGGTTCCCGTTGCTGTTCAACCAGTCCGGCGGCCTGGTATACCGGTTGTTCCAACACCAGAACAGCTGGCAAAGCTGCGTAGTGAACTAGATGTTGTACAAGGCAATGTTCGGGTTATGAGTGAGATGCTGACAGAATTATCTCCAAGCAATGTTGATTCTTCAGATCTAGAATTATTACAGGTGAAGTTTTGTTTTTTCTTACATTAACAGTCATATACAAGTTAAAGGTTCTATTCTCTCTTGTGATGAAGCTATCTAGCTAGCTAACAGAAGATTTGTGGTACTATATTTTAAGTGAATGCCTGCTGGTTCCTTCACATAATGCAAGGGTTGCATTTAGTTTTAAAATGATATAAGCTTGATTGTGAAGAAAGGTTTTAGCTTGTTTGTACCATTCTAGAGTCTAGCCAGTACTGATATCATTTGAAGAAATCTGTTTCTGACACCTGTAGAGTTCAAACCCATTATTGACGGGTTGAGAGGTGAACATCTAAACCACTAGGCTATTGCTCCATTTTGGCAATAATCAAGCTTAAAATCCAACAATAAAAAAATTGTTTTGGTGATTTGAATAGAATATTGAATATCCTATGAAAGGGATACGGACAAAAGCCCCCCCAGACCGAAAGCCCCCCCATCTAAAAATGACAAGGTGGACAAAAGCCCCCCCATGAAATTTACACATAGCACAAAAGCCCCCCCCCCCCATAAAAAAGTCAAGGTAGGACAAAAGCCCCCCCCCCCCCAATAGTCAATCAAATTTACATTTAGTGTATTAAAGTTGTGTTTTTATGTGTTTAAAAGATATGTATGATGACAATCACATGTAGTGAAAGAGTGCTTAAGGATATTAATTTGATTTCCTTTTTGCAAAAAGTGATTAAACATTACTACTATTCTGACCCTTGTTGTGTATATGAAAAGCTATGAATTCGGTATCGCATGCATGCATTATTTTATCTGTTATCATAAACTTTGTCATCACTTCAATATATACATTATGAATAACATTAAAACAGATTCTTTTCATTTTTATTTAAAAGTTTGTACGAAATTTGATGAATTTGAGCACCTGTTCATGTGAAAAAAGATGGGGGGCTTTTGTCCTAACTGTATTTTTGATGGGGGGGGCTTTTGTCCTATGTGAAAATTTCATGGGGGGGGGCTTTTGTCCACCTTGTCATTTTTAGAAGGGGGGCTTTCGTCCGGGGGGACTTTTGTCCTACACTCCCTATGAAACCTTACATAATTTGTAACTATAGTATGAAGTGATAAAGTGTTATTTGAATATATGTTTAATAATAAATTGATCTTTCTTGAAGTATTTTTCAGAGGGCATTAATGTTAACGATGCCCTGAGGATGAACATTTTGATTTCCATATCATGAAAATATGATTATGTCTTGAGTTACTATTGTATTTTATCACTAACAGTATCAAACTCCGTGCACTGTCCGATATTAAAAATTATTTTCATAATACATGTATTTATGTTTCTGAAATTATTTCTTAGTTAAGTTCACATGTAACACATTATGGCTTTGAAACATTAGCAAAACTGTGTTTACTTTTTAAAATAAATATCAAAATTCAAAAATTTTCATATCGTCAAAAATCTTAACAAAATGTTGTGATGGCAGAGATCTATCTAATCCTGTAAGGGGAGATTACTGCATGGGAGATTGTAACAGAATTTGAACATATTTCTGTTCATGAGAGATTTTGAAATTCCTTCTGTAGATTATTTTCTATGTAATATTAGTATTTAAACCAGGTAGAAAACAACTGTTGTTTTTATATGAAATATTAGTATTTAAACCAGGTAGAAAACAAGGGTTGTGTGTAGTATTGATATTGTAATGATGTAAAATTTGTGTATAATGTTTATAGGAGTTAAATAGAACAAACAGACAGATGCAACAAAGAATTGTTGAACTGTTAGATGGTATACCTAATGAAGAAGTCACTAGTAAGTCATTTTTATATATGTTTATATGACTTTTATACTGCAAATAGCACAGTTTTGATATTAAAACATAGTATGATTAACATAGTATAATTCTTTTTAGAGTGAAATGATGTAATTTTATTTAAGAGTCAGACAAGTTCAGTACTGTTTCAACATCATTATTGTGATGTTATTCTAGTACATTTGAGTAAACATACATGTGTATATTATTATAAGATAATAAATATGTGATACAGTTTGTTGTGTCTTGAAAAGTTTCAATCATTCATTGACTTGTACGCTCAATATGGCTGTGTGTTGTAAAAGGCAATAATACTCAGATTATTTAATATGTACCTAACATATTTCAGTGTTATAGAATTAACTTATCTTCACATTAAAGAAACTACCATTAATGTTGATAAAATCATTTTTGACATATGTTGTATAAGCTAATTTGTGCATTAAAAAATTAAAGTAGTACTCAGTTTAAATTTTAACAATTTGAATTAAATGAAGGTCATTCATGCACATTAAATTAAAGTGAACAATGATTAATTTTCAGATGAATTATTACGTGTTAATGATGACCTGAACAATGTGTTTTTACGATATGAAAGATTTGAGCGTTATAGAACTGGACAGACTGGTCAGCCCCAGGAAGTTGAGCCTGCATCAACAGATTCTGTACATCCACCATCGTATAATGATATTGTAAGTTAAATAACTTGTACACTGAAACTTGTGATATCACAATTTCATATAATGTTATTGTAAGTTAAATAACTACATGTATATCTATAGGGTTGACTGACAAATTTAGATTACTATCTTAATACCTATAAAGTTATTGATTGATAGTTAGATTCTGTAAAACCAAACAAGTACATTAAAAAGAATATAGCAGGTTAAAGGTTAATGTCAAATAATTTCAGCAGAAATCAAGTCCCATTCACCTGTCCAAAAATGATTTTCATGTATTGTCCTTGTCCTCTCCATCGATGAGAGAAATATTTGTTTGATCATGATGTATTTTATTTCAAAAAGATGTTTGTGTGTAATTAATATAATATGGGAGGTATACTTTGAAATGAAAACAGAAATGTTTATATTGATTAAACTTGATTATGAAAAAGGTTCATCTGATCCCTAATAATTGCTTTTTTGCCTGCTTTCTGAATTCCACAGTGCTGGTGCTGTATGAAAAAACATGTAAGTGACATAAGAAAGCTTAAATTCTTGATCTCTGGGTTAAAGGTAGACACTTTAACAACTAGTCCTTTAGTGCTCTGACACAGAAATAAGGAAAACAAAGTTTAGCTAATTTAAAATTTAAGGAACACTAACATATAAATTTGTTCTAATTCTTAAGGGAATTTTCTTTGTATAGGTACCAGCGCCTGCTAGTGCTGGAAGTACCAATGTTGGTAATTTGATAGATCTAGGGGATGACACAACAACTACAACAACACAAGTTGCTGATCAACTGGCTAATATGAGTAAGTTTAGTCTACTCCTCTATTTTAACCTTAAACATAAGTTATTGCTTTCTGATATATCATTTTAGTTATTCCAGAATTCATTTTAACCAAGGCAAGTTAAAAATAAAGAGTAATACACGTCAACACTAGGGCAAGTTTACAATATTTTATTGGTGTCTACTAGTTTCGGTCACTTCGGGACCAGAATTCATTTTAGTTCAATTATGTTGGGAATGTATAAGGTTATAGACTCACTCTAGATTCTGTGGCCACTAATTTTGTTTGAACCCACACTGCTAGTGATCCTAAGATTACTTGCCTGACACATTTACTGCTAAGCCATGCCACCACTGCATATATCTCTTTTTGTCAAACTGTTCTTAGCTGTAAGTTGCTGTAAGATGTGATTACATTGTCAATATGACTTAAAAACTGAATTAAGTAATACCTTTTCTAGACATTGGTAATGCTCAGTAGGTCAAATGTTTGAACTAGATACCACTAAAGTGATTATTATAATGAAATAATTATATCCATCAAAGTTAATTCTTGTATAGTGGTGATGATAGCTTTGCTAAAAAATATTTTAATAGAAATAATGATTTTTAAAGTATTTTCAAATAACCTTTTTGGTATGAACACATTTAATGTAACTATTTAACTCATATTACACATCATTATTGTACATGATTTTATATTTTACAGATGTAAATGGGGCCAACGATGACTTTGACATGTTTGCTCAATCCAGAAAGTCATTTGACCAAAATAGAGAAAATATGGGGTAATAGTTGAATACTGTTGTTTAAAATAAATAAGATAAACCATGTTTCATAACTTCTATAAATTCATGTGTGGGTTCTCAAAAAATATGTGAATAATTAAAAGCAAACTATTGGTTGTTGTACATGATAAAGTTGTTTTTGATGTGAGATATAATTAGTGAGATATATGTCATATCACACTGTTTAAAACAAGTGAGATCTCTTTATCCAAAGATACAGGAAAAATACAGAACATAGGTTAATGATTTTTATGGCATGGAAAACTTCATACATTCATAATAATTTGTGTCATTTGAAGCCAATTATGATGACATAGGACTAATTAAGTGAAAAAGCTAGAGAATGCAACATTAAAGAAGAGACTGTTTTCTTTTCCCACTATGTATATGTGTGTTTCCATTTGTATAGTTGTATCATGAAGCTGACCTTATCGTTATATTATATTAACAGGTCTGGTACTAACTATGTAAATGAGGATCAGTTTGGACAAGGTACAGGTGTTGGTCAAGCTGTCAATATGAAGGCACAAACACAGGTATGTGTATTTATAGAGAACACTAGCTGAAATAATGACTAGTCCTATTCACTTGTACTGAGCTAAGGCAGTATGCATGCTGTTACAGTCTAACTATAACTAGACTTAAATAAAATAATTTAAAAATGAAATGTCTATGATTAACAATGGATAGTTTTAAGGCTGGGCAAGTCTGTATGTCACAAATTTAGCTGTAACGAAAGATTAAACATTTTATGGACAGAGATTGGAGTAGTTTTAAGCCAAAGTAAAGAAAGATATGATTGGTATAATTTTAACTCTTTTTATAAAACATCATGCTATGCAGAGAAATACTTACCTTGGCAATCTAATTTTTATGACACAGTTTGAAATGAGTGTGAAAGCCACATTGTAGGCGGAAGTGACTATAGTTGAATCTCATTATTTGTATAATTATTGATCCTAAAATAAGTGCTAGGAATTGTTGTTTTTTGTGTGTGTGTGTGTCTGTTATTAACATATAAATAAAGATGCTATATGTTGACTCTTCATGAAATGAAATATAAAACTGCAATATTTTAGGCAACAGATGAGGAAATTCTTCAGGTAACCATGGTTATGGAATGTGTTTATAGTGTGTAGTTTCTGTACAGCTTGTAACAGTCTAATTTACATTATCTAATATCAGCTGTTTCTTGCTTGTAGTTTGATTCACAGTAACTTTGTTTTTACTACTCACACTATGTTCTTCTGTACATGCTTTTGATGAGTGGAGGTAAATGATTAGTTTTATAAGTAGACGTTATGAAAATGAGAATAAACAGTCAAAGATTTGACAAAAATTAAATTTCTTTTCTGCATTTTTGTGGGGAAAAAGTGAAAACACAACAAGGCGTTAGTCAGCCACCATAGTTTTATGATAAAAGTTGAGTATCAAAATAAATACTTTTACAAATGAATTATTATGGGATGTTTGTGACAATGCCTGTGGATAGTTCAGATTGGAGATATATATTTCTAACCTGGCTTTTTGTTGAAATATGGATTAGCGATATATATTTTTTTAATATTTTTTTTGCCAAGATTTCTTTCTTCTGAAGATATAAATTTTATAACAATTTTGTCTGTGATCACTTCATGATTATCAGGGGTGTCAAGTTCGTTTTTAGCTAAAACCCAGTTATGAAACTCACTAACCGGTAACTGAGGTTAGTATCAGACAAAGTACCAATTTTTAAAAGAATATTCTAAACATTACCTAAGTTTTTATGCCCCCACAATGTGGGAGCATATAGCGTTGCACTTGTCCTTCCGTCCGTCCGTCAGTCAGTCCGAGCCAACATTTGATTATTATGAGCTTCATTCCGTAGTTAAATAAAGAACATAAACTCATAAAATTCAAATTAAGAGCTATTTTTTTGTTTTTATGAGCTTATTTTGCTTATGGACGTTGGTCCAGGTGGTGTTTATGAGCTCATTTGCCTCATAAACATAAAATTTTGGTATGTCCGTCCGTACGTCCCGAAATCTTGTGAACGCAACTCCTCTTAAACTGGATGACAGATTTTGCTTAAAATTACAGGGATGAACAACCTTAATGTGTAGATGGTAGTAAAGGAAGGAATTTTTGCTGCGACCAAATTTAACAGAATTATGGCCCTTTGTTGATTTTTTCACTAGATACTATGTAGAAATTTTGTGAACGCAACTCCTCTTTAACCGGATGGCAGATTTTGCTTAAACTTCCAGGGATGAACAACCTTAATGTGTAGATGGTAGTAAAGGAAGGAATTTTTGCTGCGACCAAATTTAATAGAATTATAGCCCTTTGTTGATTTTTAGTTTTCAACTTGTGGCACATGTAGTCCAAAAAATATTTGACCTAGAGTCATAAGATTGACAGAACAGTGGCGTGTGGGGGCATCCGTGTCCTATGGACACATTTCTAGTTTATAACAAGATATGACATTCTATTTAAATTTCAATTGTTTTGTCCAATTGCATGCTATCTGATCATGTATGGTAATGTCCTAATGGACAGTTACTTTATAAGTCCATATAATTGGACTTAAATTGTAATCTTTGTTGATTACAACAAAGTATGTAATTTCATGTCTTGAAGAAAATCTTAGAATTTTATGACTAAGGTCGGTTAAACGTTTGACACAGTTATTAGGTCGAGTTTAAACTTTTATCATTTTTGCTAACTGTGACACTTGTTGAAGTAGTATTTTTAGAGGGAAAATTTGTATTATAGTTTGCTTGTTTATCCTTTAGTTTGCAGTTTTGTATTATTAACTAATAACCTATATAAAATGTCATAAAAAATGCCATGCACTACATATTACAGTATTATACAAATTTTTAAATATAAAGAGAATATTAAATAAGTGTAGATTTAATACTAATTTTATTGAACAAGATGAATAAAATCATATCATGCAAGCCTCAGGAGAGCAAAGTATTGTTTTATACTATGTGTTTAATAAATTTAGCATTGAATCTACATAAATATAATGTCCCATTTATCATATATCCAAAAATAAGAACAGTTTACAGTAGTCAATTTCCCTTACAGGAACCAGGTTGATATTGTAATGCTACCATTAGCACACTGTGATGCTATCTTTGTATATAATGCAAATGATGCCACATTAAATTGTTATTACATAAGTGTATTTTTTGTATCAAATGGCTTATTTCACTCCTGCAGCATGTTTATGTGATAAAAGTAATTTTGAACTTGTACAAAAACACAATCATTTTTAAAGCTTACGAAAAAATGTTGCACTTAAGATTTTCTTACGATATTTTGTGAAAGTAAGATTTCACTTACGATAAAATTTGTCATAAGTTTTTTTGTGAAAATTGCTGCTGGTATCCATGATTGTGTAACACATGGTGAAGGTTTTATATATAACTTTATATCTCATTAACCACTGGATCTATACACTTCACAAAATTGAGCTGCATCACAACAAAACCAACATAGTGTGTTTGCAACCAGCATGGATCCAGACCAGCCTGCACATCAGTTTATTCTGCGCAGTCTGATCAGGATCCATGCTGTTCGCTATCAGTTTCTCTACTTGTAATAGGGTTGGTAAGCGAACAGCATGGATCCTGATCAGACTGAGCGGATTCGCAGACTGGTCTGGATCCATGCTGGTCGCAAACCCACTATGTTGGTTTTGTCATGGCACGGCTCATTAATGTTTTTGACTCATAATTGTAGGTCACTGTCTAAGGCCCATACTCTAGCATGATTTTGATTAAATAATAACCAACTGTAACATTTACCTTAGAGAATTAATTCTTGGTTACGTTTGTAGCTCTAATTTTATTATTAGGGCTATTCTTTCAAAACTTTACACATGACTTCATGTTCATAATTGAGGATTACTTTCCAATGTCCATGACTCTAGAATCAATATTTGCTGGATTACTCCCCTTCATAACTATCAAACAGATGATGAGCATGCTCTCTGATGGGAAGATCTTGTTTGAGATGGCCTCATAAATATATGATTGTCTTTAAAGAGTCAAAGTTTATAACTGAAGTTTAATTGTGTATGCTTTTATACATCATACATTACATGCTTGGCTTTATTTTTTTTCCTTTATTATATTGCTGTCTTATATATTTTGTTTGTTTTCATGTTTTACTTAGTCTGGATTACAAACAAGGAAGGTCTGTTTGTGTTTTTTAAAGCCAATATATTATATGTCAATTTTCTTTAAACCTTTTGCTTTTTAAATACTCTGTTTTGCTTTCCATGCTGTGTATGATTGCCCACTTCATTTGTAAATATTGTTCATAAATTGTGAATTAAATACACCTTACAGATGTTCAGTACATGATATTTAATTAAAGGGACTTAGAAACTAGAAAGTTGTACATCTTGAAGGGAGGGTAGGAGAATTTTGTCTTCATGACTGATTGTATTAAGTTTATGACTTTAAACATTTGCCAATTAACATTCCAGTTAGCTAAATATGAAGAGCATTGAACTGTGAATCGAGCAACCTTGGTTCAATTCTTGGATGTTGCAGGTCACATTCATTATGACTGATCATGTAATCCTTTCTACACACATTCACACTGTACTCTGGCATATAAGGTAGTTATCAGTACCTTGAGAAAGTGAAGGTAACTGGCACTGGTAAACTGCTTGACAGTCTTCCCAGCAACAATGCGGTGATCAAACTTTAAATCCATTGTTACTAACTACTGTTTGGGAGGGTAAACTACCAACACCTTTTCTACATGGGTTTAGATATTTATAGGGTGATGATGCTATCCACCTAGCTTTGGGCATATTAGTTGTTCTACAGTGATACAATATTCACCTGGAGTCATTCTCGACCTCTATAGTGTCAAAATTTCTAAAAGTGCATATCATATATTATACATGTTAATACTTTATTGTTCCAAAAAATCCTTCCATGAAAACTTTCTTTCCATTGTTAAAAAAAAATTTAAATCTTAACCAACAGAAATGTAGACAGAACTTCTCATTAATTGTTTTTTTTTTGTTTGTTTAGGGTTTTTTTTGTTTGTTTTTTTTTTGGGGGGGGGGGGGTAAAATTGTTGATGTGATAGTTACCCTGTCTGCAGAGTCTACCACAGTGTTGTAAAATAATAAGAAAAACTGTTCCCTAGAAAATAACCATATGTAGTAGCTAGTTTTGTTTGACCTGATGTGTTCAATTTGTATTTATTCATTTTCCAGGCTGTTTGTTTTCATATGTATTAAATGTATTAAGTGAAATTGTTCATAAAATAATTTGAGCAAAACATGTCTATGTAGACAACACCTTCAAGTGAGCAATTGAAGACCAACATTGCTCTCTTGTATTCTCTAAGAATATACATTGAAAGTCAGTTATTGTTGTAATATATAACTGTAAGATAATCTTTTCTGTAGTGTATCACACATATATATTCTAACTTACTTTTACACAGTACTTTTCTCACAAATAAACTTAAAAATATGAAATTTTATAATATTAGACTTTTAATATATTTAAAATAATACTATATCAAAGCATGAAGATAATTAGACATTGATATACATAAAATGTATGTTTTGAAATACTTTTGATATATATATTTTATCTCTATATATATATCAGTTACAAGACAAAGAGACAGATTATGATGAAATGGAACAATGGTTTGAAGCAAAGCATGAGGAGCAAACAGGGGCAGGAAAAACCTGGAGGAAAACCTATTTTCCATTCAGGTCAGTATTAAATTACCCCTCCCTTGATAAAGAAACGAATTTAGTCCTAAAAGAATAGATTGGCAAAAAGAACATTTTTTTGAGATGAAAAATATGAAAAAACTTTGTTGTGAACATTGTTTGAACCCATTTCTTATTGGTTGGTAGTTCCTGTTATTTAAAAATAATGCAAAAAAAACCAAATGATTTAAGATTAGCTGTGACACAAAATCATAGGTTGCAAACAACATAGATGTAGTTGAATTAGGGATTAGAACAACTTTACGCAAGAAACCCAAGAGGGCATTCGTCTTTCATGTTATAATTCCTGTTAATTCATCTACCAGAGAATGATTTGTGTCTGAAAATCTAAATTCTAAAATAAGAGCATTGTTTGTTCCAGCTAAATAAATCTTAACCTTGTTATCATCAAAGATTATAACTTTGTTATGTAACTGATAGTAGGGAAATCATGTTACAATATTGTGATATTTTCATTGTAAAGGCACACCTTTAGTGAATTTATCAAATAGAATAGAAAAGAATATGACATGAAATTATGCTATGACAGTTAAAGCTACATTAAATAAATTTCATAAAAAAAATAATAGCTACATTTTGTTAATGAAATATGTTCATATCAACTCCCATTCTTATTTTGGTGTTCCAGACAACCAAAATGAGTTTTATTAAGCTGTAAAATCTACAACCTCATTGTGGGGAAAATTGGAAGTACAATTTCTATTTTGCATGAGAAATCTCCGCCTTTTGGTCATCTGTACATCAATAGAAATATCAAGAAACAGTTTTAAGTAGCAGTCCGAATGTAACGGTTAATTTCTGCATTTATATTAGGGATGTTTTCATACAAATTCAATATTTTTCTGAAGATGATTATTTTTGTAAATGACAGCGCTAATGTACCATGAAACTAAAATGGTTGAAAGTTTGTTTGCGCACAAGAATATCTCATAATTTGCTGTGATCCACATGGTTACAATTGATTTTACCATTGTGATGTAGCACATACACAAGCTAATTATACAAGTCTTCATTTGCATGTTAAAATTCGTATACAAACTTAAGTGTTACCATGGGGTTTTTCCTTTTAAAATCATAACTTATGAACAATTTTAATGAGATTCACAACAATACTGTTAATAATGGTAACAAAACTATAGAATGCTTGGTTTGTAAGCCGATGGAAAAATATGTTAAGATATTTTAGTAAATGTAGCTTTAACATTGTTCTTTGAACATATTATCATCAAACTGGTTTAAATCATATTTGCTGAGTGGTTAAGGTCGTTAACTTCAAACCACTTGCCCCTCACCGCTGTGGGTTTCGAATCCGACAGGGATTTGGGATTTTTCCCATGTGAGGAAAGCACCACTAGCTTACAGAACGGCCGTGGTTTCTACTCAGGTACCCTCATGCCTGAATAATGCAACGGAAGGGCCCACCTGAGGTCTTCCTCCACCAGTAAAGCTGGAACACTGCCAAATGACCTATACTGTGTCGGTGTGATGTTAAACCCAAACAAACAAATCTTTCTTTTTTTTCTTAATTCAAACAGTGACTTTTTTTGTGAACTCAGTTTTATGAAAATAATTGTTTGAATTTTAGATAAATAATTCTACTTGTGGACAAAAGGTATGTTTCTGTACATGCATGAAGTGTGTGTTTGCCCCTAGTCCCAGTTGTTGTTTTGTCTCATATGATAAAGATTTCTTATAAGTTCATTTGAAATCATTGTAAAAATTGGGTTAAAAAGCAACATTACTATCAAATAAATATTTTAGATTAATATAATCATGAAGAATATTTTGGGTTTTTATTTTTATTTGGTTTGGGAAAATCATGTTGTCTAACTATGCTGTTGTAATTTGTAAACTTTTGTCCACAAGATGGAATATAATCATGTACCAGATTTTATTTATAACTTTGTTGTGTGCTATCTGTTTTGCTATGGTTATAATATTTAGACTTTATGTTGAGACTATTTAAGCAAATAAGATGAAATATGTACACACACAAAGGTTTTTTTTGCTACGATTTATATATTAACAACAAACAAACAATAAAATAAACAAAAAAAATAAACAAAAGAAAAAATCGGAAACTCAACTACTGTATAGTTCTTATGGAGTCATTCTGGAAAGTTTTTATGTATTTGTTATAATAAAAGATATACAAATGTTTGTGTTACTATAATAGTCAATAGAAGTGGCTGAGAATTTAAGGAAATAAAGTGGGTTGTCTAAAATATAGTCCTAAAATTTGGTCTTATGCATCAGTTCATTAAGTTCAAGGAACTGATTATGCCATGTTGACTATTCTATGCAAATTTATGACTAATGTAATTGCAAATACACATGTATATAGTACATATAATTATCAAATTTTGGATAGCCTGGACTTGCCTTTCTTCTTGTCAGTTTTGTTTGATATTTTGCTTTTATTTTAGATATTAGTTCAGGCTTACATTTTTCTTTTGTGGAAGTATATATGTGTGGTTAAATTTGTGATGCTTTGAGGCGTAGCTGATTATTTTTCCTGTAATAGAGACCGTAAAGGCATTTCAGTTGTGATGTATCTGTGATTATTGTTATAAAATTTGAATAGCAGTAAGTAATTGTTTGATGAGTAGATGTAACCTAAAACCAGAAATTAAATGTGAAATTGCCAAGTTACTTGCTTTTACTTTTGTTGGATGTATTAAAAAGTAGCTAGGATGAGGATTGATCATGCAAAATACATTGTTTTTTTGGAATATTGAAGTTGTTCAGCGGTCAGCAAAATTATGGCTTGTAACTCAAACTTATATTGCTTACAAAATTTTAGATCAATGATTTCCTATGTTGAATGTTATGACTCTCCTCTAGGATTTGGAAATTTATATATTTTGTCTTTTTCAGAATTTGACAAGTTTTTAACAGACCGAGCTTCTGCAGCCAGCACTTTACCCTCCATATCTGCACAGACAGGAGCACAGCAAAATAGAAGGCAGTTACAGAAAGATGATGATGATAATCCAATGTTTGCCTTGTAGTGATTGCTTTATACCATACCTGAACTTTATCTTATCTTCATAATTAAAGAGTACCTGGCTGGTTCCAAACTTATAACCTATTGATATAAGACTATAAGGTGACCAGCTATGTTATTACACTTGTCATGAAGAAATAAAAACAGAGGGAAAAAGATGTTTTTAAGTTATATAGTGTCCAGCACTGGTCACTTGTCAGCATCTGTTCATTATGAATGTACATCCATGTTATTTGTTTCTTTTAAAGTCACATAAATGGTTTTTGTATTTCATTTTACTTGTTATAGAGTTAACAAAACCTTACAGAATTTAAATCTAGGATTATCTGTACTTCAGCATTAATTGATTGATTTCAGGTGTATGTTAAAACTAAAATTTTTTTTGTTTTATTTTGTTTTCATGCCAGATTGTTATTCTCAGTTATAAAATAAGTAAAGATTTGTGGTCTATACTGTAATAAACTGGCAGATAGATGTCACGTCAGTGTAACAGTACAGTTGACCAGTTTTGTATTTAATGGTGTAATTTTGATATAATTTATTCTGGAAATAAAATAGGTTGTGCGGATCAAATATGCAATATTTAATCAAATCCTTTAATATGAAATAAACAACTTGGTAAATTAACAGAATATCATTTAATCTGGGTCATTCAAATTAAGAATTATGTCTCCCCCACCTCGGGGGGGAGACATATTGTTTTTTGCCCTGTCCCGTCCGTCAGGTCCGTTGTAGCCGAACCGTTACCGTCCCCGATCAGTTCCGGTCCGTCAGTCGGTCCGTTCCATTCTTTAGTTTCCGGACGATAACTAGAGTTCCTTTTGACCTACAGCTCTCAAACTTCATAGGATGAATGGTCTTATAGAGCTGATGATCCCTATTGTTTTTGGGGGTCAGTAGGTCAAAGGTTAAGGTCACACTGACCGTTGGTCAATTCTCGTTTCCGGATGATAACTAGAGTTCCTTTTGACCTACAGCCCTCAAACTTCATAGGATGATTGGTCTTATAGAGCTGATGATCCCTATTGTTTTGGGGTCAGTAGGTCAAAGGTCAAGGTCACACTGACCGTTGGTCAATTTCTCGTTTCCGGATGATAACTAGAGTTCCTTTAGACCTACAGACCTCAAACTTCATAGGATGATTGGTCTTATTGAGCAGATGATCCCTATTGTTTTTGGGGTCAGTAGTTCAAAGGTCAAGGTCACAGTGACCGTTGGTCAATTTCTCGTTTCCGGATGATAACTAGAGTTCCTTTTGACCTACAGCCCTCAAACTTCATAGGATGATTGGTCTTATAGAGCAGATGATCCCTATTGTTTTTGGGTCAGTAGGTTAAAGGTCAAGGTCACAGTGACCGTTGGTCAATTTCTCATTTCCGGATGATAACTAGAGTTCCTTTTGACCTACAACCCTCAAACTTCATAGGATGATTGGTCTTATTAATCAAATGATCCCTATTGTTTTAATGGTCAGTAGGTCAAAGGTCAAGGTCACAGCGACCGTTGGTTAATTTCTCCTTTCCGGATGATAACTAGAGTTCCTTTAGAACCTACAACCCTCAAACTTCATAGGATGATTGGTCTTATTGAGCAGATGATCCCTCTTGTTTATGGGCTCAGTAGGTCAAAGGTTAAGGTCACAGTGACCATTGGTCATTTTCTCATTTCCGGATGATAACTAGAGTTCTTATCAGTGAGGACATTTAACTATTATTGATATATCAGTGATATATCAGTTGTCTGGTTTTATATACTCTGTTCTTTTATCTCCATTTCCATTCCTGTTTCCATTCACAGTTATTCTCAGCAGTGGGGGAGACATGCGCTTTTTTACAAAAGCATCCTCTAGTTCTATTTAAATTCGAAGTTGTACAAATGGTGAAAGAAATATTATGTATATGTATATATATTGCTACTTGGATTGAGAAATATGTTTTAGACCAAATATTTTACAAAATTTCAACACACCAACTGCTTTCATGTATGATATAAAAAGATTTAATTACATAGAAAACAATTGATATTTACTCTATATCCCAAATATTTATTGACCGGGGAATTTGAGCCGCGTCACGACAAGACCAACATAATGTGTTTGCAACCAGCATGGATCCAGACCAGCCTGCGCATCTGCGCAGTCTAATCAGGATCCATGCTGTTCGCTTACAAACCCTATAACAGGAAGAGAAACTGATAGCGAACAGCATGGATCCTGATCAGACTGCGCGGATGCGCAGGCTTGTCTGGATCCATGCTGGTCGCAAACCCATTATGTTGGTTTTGTTGTGACGCGGCTCATTTATTTTGATGTAATCAGAAAATCATTATAGTGCCATTGTGAGGGTTTGATTCATAACTTCTGATCTGTCTGTCTATCTGTCTGTCTGTCATCATTACATTTATATATCACACTCTGTAACACTAATAAATTCAGTCATTTCTTGCTGAGGTATTTCAATACAGTTTTTATTGTTAATGTCTTAAAACTTCTATTTTTGTATAGATAAATGCAGGGAAGAAAGCTTATTATATAAATTGAGATCAAAGGGTTTACCTAGTAAGCAAAGCAACTACTTTCTGTTGTTTAGAATAATGATTTAGAAATACTGTTACTTATATTACTAATGAAATTTTTTTTTGGTAATGTAAGAATTATTTTGGTGAAGAATTGTCTGTTTTTATTTTTTTTTATATTCATAATTATTTTTCTTGCTTTATGTTAAAAAAATGTAAGTCAAAATGGAAGGACATTAGATTATCATGAAAAAAATGTAAGCAGCAAATATATGTTTCCAAATTTTGTTTTCAGTGAAAACATTTAGTGATTTTTAGTTACATACACTGGGGGCATGTCAAATACTATGTATTATTTAAAATTAATGATTTATTTAATGATTATTTCTTTGGAATATCAGGTCTGATATTTTTCTTGTGTTTTAAAGGCATAATACACAAATTTGCTTGATTTGTAGAAGTTTGCATTACTATGGTTGTTAATCAAGATTAAGGTTTTTCTTACAAGTTAATCTGCAGAGAGGAAATTTAATATAATGTAGCACTATAAGAGAGGGGAAATTATTACATTTATTAATTTTCAATATAAACAAATGACCAAATGTCAAACCAAACAAGATGAAGTCATTTTTCATTTATTATTATTCTTGTGTTTTATTATTGTGGTTAAAGATTAGATATTATTTTGATGGTGCAGTTATTTTATATATTGTTTAGTTGTTGTCTGAGTTGCAATATTTTGTTGTCAGTTAAACTAATTATTCTCTGTTACAGCTTTTCTTTACAGTAACCATGCTATATTACTTAAATGGACTTGTCCATATTTTATTTTGGAAGAATTCATTCCTCATTTGTAGGGAAATCATGATCAGATGACATGTATGATCGGATGATCTTTGTCTGTACTGGTTGCCTGGGTAAATTCTGTTGCTGCTTAGTTGGCTAAGGGTTTATAAATTTATATGCATACATAATATAATGTTCTGGTTTTTTTTTTGTAGACCACTTATGTATTATTGATAATATACATTGCAGAATGATGAGAAAAATATGTTGGAAAAAACTTTGATTTTTTAGTTTTGTTTTCTGTGCTGTTACATGTAATGACTTATTATGCTTATAGTCAAGGTACAGACGCTGTTTTGTTTTCATTATGCTTTTATCATTTATATTTTATTGCTTCGAGTGGAAAGGAAAACAAAGGAGTACAAATCATGTAAAAAATTACTTTGTTTTGTATTTTAAATGATTAAAGTGACATTATGCATGCTGAGTGTACAGGTTAAAGTAAAAAAAATAACTTCACATTTTGCTTAGTCATTTACAATTTTATGTTTTACTTCACATGTATTCCCATGTGACTTATGAAAAATTCTAGAAATATCCTTCACATTGTGTCGTTGATGTTAAACTTAAAAAATGAGTGGAGCAGTCTTTTTATAGTTTAGGCAAAGGTTATATTTTATCTTTTAATAAATTTGAAAAAAAAAATCAATTATTGGTTAATAACCGTTATTATATAATAGTCAATCTTTTGAAATATATAATTCATTCAGCTAAAGTTGGCAGCGAAAAAAATTAAATGAGTATAATGTCATTTTAATTTTATTATTGTTTAGTTTGTGGTAATACAAAATGTATTGATATATTTATTGATAATTACTGGTATCTAGTGAATTATAAAGAACATGAAAATAATTGGTGATTTACTTACTGTTAAATTATTATGTCAATTAGTCAATTATTTAGAAATAAGTTGATTATAGACCAAAAATCATATGTGTTTGTTCTGCTAGTGTATTTATTTTCATAAAAAACGTTTAGATAGATTGCTTTAATTCTAGCCATGTTGAAATGTTTTTTGCAATGAAAGAATATTTGTTTAGCTAACATTGGCATTTTAGCTTATAATATTTATAGATCATCAGGTGTCCACCATCTAATTATCTTTTAAACTTATTACCAGTTATGATAAAACATTACAGGTACGATATTGCCAACATCTGATCAATGTCATATGGCAGATATTCCCTTGCTATATAAGAGAACAGTTTGGGTCCCATTAGTTAAGTAGAATCAAATCTTTCCAGTGATGTTGAAACATATTATAGGGAGAGATAGTTGATTTAGCTAATGTTCGGTCAGTGGTCAATGCTTTCTGACCATATATTTAATCATTTACACAGGGATATCCTGAAGTATTCTTACACTTATAAAACCTATGAGGTCACCATATGACTTAAACAAAGTCTTTTAGCTTTAAACACAAGAAAGGTAATTAATCCTATTATAAATACGTTTATATACAGGTGATAACTGAAATGTCAGTCTCAAGTATGCATAGACAGCCCACTTAGCCCTTTTGAGCAGCTTATTTTTGCTTTATTGAGGAGCTTTTTAATGAAACGGTCTATTTTAAAGATACAGTCTTTGAATCATGTTTTAAAAACCTTATACAAATTTGATAACAAAATATCAATTGAAGTTCGTGTGTTTAATTTTGTTAGAACTTCAGTAGGGATAATGTTAGAACTCACTATACTGTACTCTCACTGTTGATGTCACTTTGTGATAGGTGTTCAAACTATTGTGATAAATAACCTGTTTCGTAGTATCACATTATTCTGTGTCCTTCGATATATTGCATGAAATAAATATGAACAACCAACTTTCATTTTGTATTCATTGTTATTTTAGTCACATTACTTTATCAGTGAATCTTTCACCCATTCTTGTCACTTTAGACCTATTTCTAAAGCACCTCTATTTATGACATTTGACAAGTAACCCCCAATAAAGTTAAATAGTTAAATGAAAATTAAAATATTATATTTGTAATTTTATTTCTGCTGGGAAGTTAATAAGCCTACCACTTAATTACCTTAGCTTTCTATCTGGGTATGTATACAACAGGCCAACATGTCCAATCTTTACTTTCTACGTTTAAAAACTACTGGATTAGACGGATCATTTAATGCTGGTAAAACTGAAACTTATGTGAGATAGCACTCTTGAGTTTAATGGCAGATCATGATATGTATTCAGTTTATTATGAATAATATTTGAGAAAACGCCCCAGAATGCTCCATGTACCTTTATTTTACAAAATTTCTGGAGGAACCGCTCGTATCTGTCTCCACTGAGTTACAAATGTACTTTCAAATTAGAATTTCACAAGAATGTCAAAATATTGAAATGTGTCAGTCAGTGGTACATTAACAGTGCGCTATTTTAAGAACAAGTGGTTATGTTCTCAACTATCGCGCTTTAGATATGCGATTACATACATAATCAAATAATTATTAACATATATTTGATTTTTTACAAAACAAAAAAAGATGTTTTACTGATAATGAATGTGCAATTTAAAGCTGAATTATGAAACATACAAATGAGTTTGACATGCGTTATTTTAGCTCACCTGAGCACAGTGCTGAGAGGGACAGATATTTGGCCTGTAACATTTCCGTGTGGTCCTCTATAAAAGACATATAAATAGCCACACCCTAGGGATCCCTTAGTTTACGTAGGCTCATTAAGTAAGTATTTTTAGTCTTTTACGAAACTGATATGACAGAAACTTAGATATTTGGCATGTAGCATCGTCAAGTTGGTCTATATAAAGTTAAATAAATCATGTCCTTTGGGTCAAAATTGGCTGCATTCCGGGCTTTACTTAAACTATATAGACATGTATGGTTAAAAAACTAAAAAGACTTGTCCTCATAAACTACAATGCCCAGAGCTTAGATATTTGGCATGTAGTATCACTGTGGTCATCTACAAAAGTCATATAAATCCTGTCTCCGGGGTCAAAAAATGGCCCCGCCCGGGGGTCACTTATTTAACAATTATGCAGCTTAGCGAAAAAATGACAAACCCAATGTGACCTCATTACTGGTTTAAACCTGTAAGGTAAGCAATCCCAGGCCATCATTGTATACTAAAGTATTCTTTGTTGACTTTAACCTTCATATTTGTTTGATCCGACCATTATTGGTTTTTTTTATAAATCCTATTTCAATATATACACCTCTGATATAAACCTATAATTATAAAGAACGATTTGAAGTGCTACAACTTTTTGAAGAAATACGGATTATTATAAAGCAGATTTTAGAAGGTATTCTCAAATTGTTTTTATTCCTAATTACAAATTTATTGATATTGAACTGTTGTTGAATGTGTCAAGAGAATAATTACATTGCATTTAGTCAATGTTAATGTGTCTGCTAAGTGAAACAATGTATTCTGGTGATACGTATGTATTTACAAGTAAAATTAAAACGTAACAGAACGAAATTTTGGTAAAGGCGATGTTCATTTTCAGTTGTTGGTTAACATAATGTATCATACAAAGTATACAAAAAAATCACAGAATTAAAAATAGAGATTATAATTAGGTAGATTGAAAGTGACAGCGGGGAATAAAAATTGGGAAAGACTGAGTCTATAATGTTGTTTAAGATTTAAGGATCGAGATCAGGATCAAATTAAATAAAAAATCTAATATTCTTCATTATTTATCCCAATAAAATTAATATTTGATATCAACTTGATTAAATTAAACTTAAAATAGCATGTTTATAAAATTTTATAATAAATGTGTTGTTATTAACAAAAAATGATGAAAAACTTTGGAATCACCTAAAAACTATTTTTTCCATGTTAACATGTGGTCTTTCACCTAATTTTGGTGAAAAATTGTTGTTTTGTCACATTTATAATTTTTTTAGTTAACCCTTTCCCCCATGAGCATATTGTGAAAAAAGCCGTTTTCACTGAAAAGCCTCCTGTTACAAGTTCAAACTGCTATGAAACTATGAAAAATGCTTCAATACTAATCAAACTTGGCACAAATGTTGACTGGACCATTGCCTTTGTAACGACATGCTCAGTCTGAAATTTCCTGTTACCATGCCAACGAGGGGACATCTCAAAATTGCCAAAAATCACTATTTTGCCTCGATTTTTTCCATCAAAATTTATTTCAAAGTGCTGCAACTTCTCAAGGGATTGGGATAGAGTCAAAGGCTTTTCAGCGTTGGTTACACGTTACATTATGATCGACCTGGGGTCATTTTTAACCTCTCACAAGTCCAAAATTTTCTTGGCGATGAGGGGGACTCCGCCCCCTTCTAATCCCCCTAACAGAAGGGGGCACATCCCCCTTCTGGCAACCCCCTGATGTATCTTTTGGATGGGGGAAGGCGCCGAAAAAGTGCTCAATTTTTTTACCAACATTTCTCAAACGAAAACATGTGTTTGGGGCCCAAATAGGACATTTTTCACTATTTGAGGCCTGAAAAAGGGGGGGGGGGTCGAAAGTGCGTTGTTTCGCGTATATATGAGGTAAAGGGTTAATCAAGATAATTATTGATATTTTTATAGTTGATCCAAATATTCTTCCTGATTCTAAAATTAATCCTTGTTGATTATTTTTGTATTTGATTTGCTATTTGTCGAAATCATCCCTAAATTTAGGCTTGTTTCTGTGCAAATCAGCATTTTTCAAATTTTGTTTAAGTACTATTTAATTTAAAAAATACTTTCAATTTTAGTTTAAAAAAAAAAGAAAAGAAAATCAGGATCATTTGATCCTGATCCTAATCTTTTGTTAGTGATCACGTTGGGGACGGCGCAGACATGCGTATTGAATAACCGTCTTTCTGTTACCTAAATATAACTAATATAAAGACATTAATAATTGTAATGAAACTTCAGATATTTGTTTTTGAGCCTCAGTTAAGTTAGGATGAACTTATCAAAGAAGAAAAATCAATATCAAAACTAAATTTTGATCTATCATTAAACTCATAAAACTATTTTTAAAAACTAAATTCTAATCTATCATTGAACATAATTTAATACTGTAGTTCTAACAGTCATACCATTTTTGTAATATAATGCTAGTTTACATAGCTCTTTTCTATTATTACTTTGCAGCAATGCAATAAATGTGTACATACTGGGGTTAACAAAATAATATCTTTTAATATAAAGGCTACGTATATTTGTATAACATGGGCATATTAAAACAAAATGAAATTCATCTTCTAAATCTCTTAAAGAACAACATTGACAGTAGCGTTCATTTTACCGATTGAGCTAACCATACGGTCAAAGGGGATTATTCTTTAGTGTGGTGTATCATTTTAAAAAGGAGAATAAAGTTATGTTTCAATTTTCTATTTTCGACCAGAATGTTATTCAATATTCTGACTTCTGCTTCACTGGTTTATTTACAGTATAATCAAATACAGTGAAAGACTTCAAAACTTGTTTTGTTTTTGTTAAGCTGGTATAACCATAAATAAACTTGAATAGTGTTGATTACAAATGTGGAATATCTGTAACGCGATGTTTCAATTTTCTTTACATGTTGTTTAGTCATTTATAACAAATATTTGTATGAACTTAAAAGGTTTATAACTTTATAAATAAGCTGTAATGTGTAAAATTAATGTACTTTTTTATCAAACAGTAGTATAATAATTGAGATATTACAGAGGTCACAAAGGAGAGCTTATCGCCGAATTCTGCTCTATATAAATAGCAAGTTTGTAGACTTACGATGGTACATAAGACAATTTTTATTCCGGTAATACTCGGCCATCTTAGTCAAAGATCTAATTTGCCAGTTTCGTCCATGTGATATTGATGAACAATTCCTATATTTTAGGTCATTACATACTTCTTGCTGATGTTACTATGTCTTTCATTTTTTCTTGGCCACACTGCAAACTTCCATTGAATTCAATCAAGCACTAATATTATTCTTTTGTCCTTTTAATGAAAGAGACAGAAAACTTCTTTAACACAAGTGTTTAAGAAAATTGACAAAGGTTTCGGGAAAGAAAATAAAAGAACACAAAACAATGAACGTCTTTAAAAGAAACTGTGCAAAATTGTAAAATTATTTATTAAGTCGGTTTATTTAAAAAGAAAGAAAATAAGTATTTTATTGTAGTACTTATTTGAATAACGTGACGTGAAACACGTGTTCATGTTGTGTTTCAGATAAACAAGATGTCGTCATATCCTCCGCCTCCTCCGCAGTATCAGCCACGTAAGTAATAATAATAATAATAATAATAGATTCTAATAAAAAAAATTAATAATAATAATAAACAAAAACAACATGCTAATTTTATTCAAACATGCTACTTCATAAATTTGTATATATACATTTTCTGGTTCTATTTTTCGTTTACACTCAGCTACTATATATATAAGATCTGTATCATTAAACATTTTGTTATACACTGTGTTAAGTTTGAACATACTTATTCCCATTAGAATTCATATTATATTAACAAATTGACTGGATGCCCTGTTTAAAACAGTCGGGTATTCTAAAATCAGTCGGACGGGGATGAAGTAACAATGACGTCGTATATTATATAATTAATTATATAAGATAAAAAGAACAAAATAATATCTTTTAAAATAATATAAAGGCTACGAATATTTGTATAACATGGGCATATAAGAACAAAATGTAATTCATCTTCTAAATCTCTTAAAGAACAACATTGACAGTAGCTTATTTTCTTTGTATTCTATTTCTAGCATATCTACCAGTATGTATTCTTAAGCTGTGTGTAGAAGTTCCCTAATCTAGTAACAGCTGATATTAACAGGCAAACTGTCTGCTGAGCTTAAAATTTGAACGTACATGTATTTCAAAATTTTAATTGTATTTGATCGCACTACTTTACTCTTATGCTGTCGATTATGCATTTTATTTTTCATTGTTTGCATTAATGCGCTCATTTTATTTTTCTGATCTCCATAGAATAAGGTACACCTCAATACTACAGTTTAATACTATAGGTCATACTAATATTTAATAAAACAAAATACAAACATATATTCAGACATTAAATGAAGACAAAATATTGTACTCATCAGGATCATTTTAGTTGATTAGTCCAACTTATTGTACTACGCGATGAGATATTGTGCTCCATATCTCCTATCTAGAACCAGAACAAAAAATTTGAGCCGCGTCACGACAAAACCAACAAAGTGCGTTTGCGACCAGCATGGATCCAGACCAGCCTGCGCATCCGCGCAGTCTGATCAGGATCAATGCTGTTCGCTATCAGTTTCTCTACTTGTAATAGGGTTGGTAAGCGAACAGCATGGATCCTGATCAGACTGCGCGGATGCGCAGGCTGGTCTGGATCCATGCTGTTCGCAAACGCACTATGTTGGTTTTGTCGTGACGCGGCTCAAATATCTCGTTATCTAGCTTTGGTACGTCAATATATTTTGATTAAATAGCTTATATAATTATCCTTATATAAATTAGATCCTTATATAACTATCCTATAGCTTATATAGTTCACAATACTACTTCATATATTTGGAATGTTTATATAAATCTTGATGCAGTTATTTTATCTACAGAACCTAATCAAGTAAACCCCCAAGCCTATCCTCCGCCTTACGGACAGCCGCAGATTCAGCAGCAATCTAACGTGGTAGTCATATCCCAACCTGGTGTGCCACGTGGCACTGGAAATTGTCCACATTGTGGTGTAAGTCAAATGCTTATTATTTATCGTGTTATTTTCTAGTTGATAAATATTTGGAAATACATATCGTTGTGCCTACGAAAAATATATTTGAAGTTCGGTTAGTAATGGATTTTTTTTTAAATTCCTATGATATAAAATGTTTAAGGACAAAATCTAATATTTTTTCAAATGTTGGTCGTTCATCTTTTATCAAAATGGTTCTCATGACTATTTTCAATATACCCTTTAATGCAATTTCGTTTTCTTTGCTAACTTTTTACTCCTTTTTAAGATATACATGTACCGTTTTTGATTTTCTGATAATTTCAAAAAGGAGTTTCCTCAAGGATATATGCAACATAACACATAAAATATATATACACGACAATAGAAGAACAAACGAAATGTAACTACATAAAGTAGAATAGAATGTAACATGTGATATAACATAATTATCTATAAGTATAATTATGCAATATATATATAATGTAAAATAATAGAAGATTATATGTAAGATAATAGAAGGATATATGTAAGATAATAGAAGGATATATGTAAGATAATAGAAGGATATATGTAAGATAATAGAAGGATATATGTAAGATAATAGAAGGATATATGTAAGATAATAGAAGGATATATGTAAGATAATAGAGGGATATATGTAAGATAATAGAAGGATATATGTAAGATAATAGAGGGATATATGTAAGATAATAGAGGGATATATGTAAGATAATAGAAGGATATATGTAAGATAATAGAAGGATATATGTAAGATAATAGAAGGATATATATAAGATAATAGAAGGATATATGTAACAAAATAGAAGGATATATATATAAGATAATAAAAGGATACATATAACATAATAGAAGGAGATATATATATATATATAAGACAATATCATCATCGGTGTTTGAATTTGTGAGAACTATTTACACACTGCTAGGATTTTTCATTTTTACTGTTATTTTAATTTCAGATTGGTTTTGTGAAAACTAACTACACACTGCTAGGATTTCTTATTTTACTAATATTTTTCCCGATTGGAATTATATGCTGTCTCCTGATGACAGAGAAACGATGTTCACATTGTGGAGCCAAGTATTAAAACATGCCCGTCACTCATCCATATCAAATATCATGTTACATCTCGAGACCTTACAGCTTCCATTGTCAACAATTAAGATAAATGGCTGTGAAGAAATCTTTGAGATTTTAATAGCCCCAGTTTCAACTTCTTCAACATTTTACAATCAACAAAGAAAGCTAAATGTATGATACCATTTTTGACTTCTATTTATTTGTTAACCAATCAACAGAAAATAAATATCGATGTTGTGGAATCTTTGAGATTTCCATGATATTTTAGTCATCCGTAAAACCATTTATCATTTTACAATCGAAGATTATGTGCCATGACTGTAGAGAAATCTTTATGATTTCTATGAACTTATATGAGACTTCTGAGAAACTATTAATCAAATCAATAATTGAAGATTAAGTTCAATCAACAATTTGATACCGGTAGCTAACACTGTAACATTTTTTCTGTGATTTCCATGATGCAGATATTCTAGATTTTCTATGGCTCAATGAAATACATATATTCAAGATTCCTAACACCATAAGAGATTTCAGAATTCTTAGACGTCATTTCCTCATTTCCTTGTTATTTATCAACTGATGATGCTTATTATTAAAGCTAAAAGTATTTTGATAAATTGTGTTGGTTTTGATCTATGTATCCTAACCCCTTTGACACTATGGGAGATTTCAGATTTTTTTGTGACACCATGATGTATTTGTGACACAGTTCACGGAATTTGTGAAAGCAATCAACAAGCTTTTTTAAAGAAATGACTGTAGAACTGGAGATTTTAATTACAACATCCATCAATCAATTGTAACATCACCAACAGGGTTTGTGTGCCTTAAAACGTTACACAATGATGTACAATATAATGGCTCTGGATCTAGCGTTATGTATGAGATTTCAGGTATATCAATCAACATCGATTACAATCTAATATGCACACAAACATAAATGACTGAGCTTAATCCTTCACTTATAATCTATGTTAGGAGATTTGTGCTCTAAGTATTCTGGTTAAAATTTCCGTTACATCAATCATGTAATCAACTTTATACTTTGGTGGCTGATTTACGCCCTTCTTCGCCTCAAAATGCGAAAATACGAAGAGGTAATCATGTTGGACTTTGTCGTCTCTTCGTAGTTTAGGGGCACAAAACGAAAATACGACAGAACGAGGGCGAAAGTACGACACATAAAATCTGTCGTATATTTGCATTCCATCTGTCGTATTTATGTTTAAAATACAAAAATGAGAAATCACAGAGACAACATAGTATAACATTTTCGCTTTTCCGGATTGTTACATTTTCACATTTTCGCGTTCCGGTTGTACATGCGCACGGATACATCAATCTGAAAATACCTAAATGTTACAGCTAATGACATTTTTCTGTACCATTAGTTCATTGTTACGCGTTAAGTACTGTGAACTAAGAGAAGCACAGTATAATACAATATGATCTAAACACACTACTAGTATATTTATTGACAACTTTTTATGGATTTGAATTGTTTTCCTTTTATTGATATCCTTGTAATATTGGGAGTTAGCAGACAGAATGACCGTCAAGAGAGCTTGGTTTAAAAGACATGGAGTACGCCTACAACATAACATAATGAAATAATGAATAGAATAATGCTAAATATTATACATGTATATGAATTTTAAAATGCTATAACAGCCACTGAAGAAGGCTGAAGACCGGGAACTATGGCGACCAAATGTTTTCATATGTTTTTTTTATTATTAAATTAAATCATCAAACATTGTTTTTAACTTAATACAACATGCACTCTACGTAATCAAATGATGTATGTCTTACAAAACTCTAGTATAGAATTAACAGACATTATAAAATGTTTTCCCGTGAAAATACATATCGTCCTCAGAGTAAATATCTTATTTAAGATGAGTGGGCAGATTTGAAATAAAACCTGCCGTTCTATATAAAACAAGATTGTTTCAAAATTGGAAAATATGACAATCCTTAAAAAATCGGACAAACCTTATAGCATATGGTGACCGATCAGTCAGTCTGCAAACATTTGACGGACCGAAGCTGGTGGCTACAGCATCGTCCATAAACAGGCTCAATTAAACCGAGCCTGCAACATTTTCAATTTTGCCGTTTTGGACTTTCTTTAGGGATTCTTAATTTCTCTGAGAGATGGGGTGGTCACTAAAATGTTATAAGGCATGAAGAACTGTGTACTATTACTTATATTATGCAACTCTTGTCGAGAACGTATATAATGGAAAAAATCAACGAAGAAAGAAAGCATTGTTTAAACAAGGCATGAAAAAGCAACGCAGAAAAAGGCGTATAATTCTACAAAAGAGCTTAACAGATTAAACTACCCTTGACAGTCAACAATTAGGCCAGTCCTTTACAAATTTTGAAAAATAAAATTGTACTTAAATACCCGCCTTTTAAAAATGCATTTCAGTTCTAAAAATGAAGCAGCATTTTAAGTTTGAAGTCAATAAGTATGATGCTATAAAACAATGTGCTTCTCATTAATAAAATAATTTCAGCAGTTAACTACTGTTTTAGTTATGCCCAACACAGAGATAATAATAATTATAATATAATAATAAAGAAGTTACTTAACAAGAGAACTCATTTGAACAAGACATTGATCTTCCCAGAGGCTCTCAACAAGGAACAATATAAATTTAACATATTCAAACTATTAAAATACACAAATGTTACATACATGAGGCTATCAATTTGTATACACCGATGTGTGAAAATATCTGTAGTATAAAGATTTTAAATGGTTTACAGTTTAGCAGACTTGATAATCAGGAAGGCCGTCCAAATACAACGAAAGACTTACGAAATAGTTTAGTATTTGGCCCAGGGGTGTAAAGTTGAAAATCAGATGATGAACGCAAATTAAATAGTATGAAATATTGCAAAGAACATTAACAAAAATGTTATTATTCTGAGGAACACCAGTTCTTCTCAAAGTGATGTAAACCACATATGAAGTTTTAAGTTCCAATATGATAAACGACAGCCGGGCGGACAACGCCAAATCTATATCCCTCCGTCTTTGACGAGGGATAACAGAGATATATGTTAAAAAACTGCATTTTTTGATAGTCTTATAGCCTCAATTCTGTTAAATGGCTCAGGTGTTTGTGGAATATATAAATATGATATTGTTGAAACTTTAAATATATAATTGGTGTAAAATTGTGCAGATTATGGAGTTATTGGTAAATTAGCTTTGTCAGTTTTATATAAAAAGGAAGGTCTCTAAAGTTTTAGAACAAAATTGTAAACAATCATTATTTACCTGTATATAGCATGTACTTTGACCAGTTAGTCAATGGCAATGTCAAGTATAAATGATGTAGGGTTTTCATGTGTTAGAAAACAATAACAAGAGGGCCATGATGGCCCTGGATCGCTCACTTGACACAACCGCATCCAAGCAATGTCTTAAACAAGCATCATGGCCAAGTTAGATGACAACTGAGTAAAACATGTGACCTCTAGTGTGTTATAAAGATTGTTCCATATTTGGGCAATGTGACCTAATTTTTGACCGGACACGCCCCATATTCAAACTTGACCTAGAAATCATCAAAACAACCTTCCTGACCAATTTCCAGGCAATTTGGATTAAAACTGCAGCCACCAGAGTGTTAAAAAGATTTTTCTATTTTTAGCTCATGTGGCCTAGTTTTTGACTGGACATGAGACCTGAGATGACCCATCTTCGAACTTGACCTAGAAATCATCAAAACAACCTTCCTGACAAATTCAGAATGTTTGGATGAAAACTGCAGCCACTAGAGTGTTAACAAGCTTTTTCTATATTTAGCTCCTGTGACCTAGTTTTTGACCGAAGATGACCCATCTTCGAACTTGACCTAGAAATCATCAAAACAACTTTCCTGACAAATTTCCAGAATATTTGGATGAAAACTGCAGCCAGTAGAGACAGTGTTAATAACCTTTTTCTATTTATAGCTCCTGTGACCTAGTTTTTGACCGGAGATGACCCATCTTCGAACTTGACCTATATATCATCAAATAAACTTTCCTGACAAATTTCCAGAATATTTGGATGAAAACTGCAGCCTCTAGAGTGTTAACAAGCTTTTTTCTATTTTTAGCTCCTGTGACCTAGTTTTTGACCGGAGATGACCCATCTTCGAACTTGACCTAGATATCATCAAAACAACCTTCCTGACAAATTTCCAGAATATTTGGATGAAAACTGCAGCCTCTAGAGTGTTAACAAGCTTTTTCTATTTTTAGCTCCTGTGACCTAGTTTTTGACCGGAGATGACCCATCTTCGAACTTGACCTAGATATCATCAAAACAACCTTCCTGACAAATTTCCAGAATATTTGGATGAAAACTGCAGCCACTAGAGTGTTAACAAGCTTTTTCTATTTTTAGCTCCTGTGACCTAGTTTTTGACCGGAGATGACCCATCTTCGAACTTGACCTAGATATCATCAAAACAACCTTCCTGACAAATTTCCAGAATATTTGGATGAAAACTGCAGCCTCTAGAGTGTTAACAAGCTTTTTCTATTTTTAGCTCCTGTGACCTAGTTTTTGACCGGAGATGACCCATCTTCGAACTTGACCTAGATATCATCAAAACAACCTTCCTGACAAATTTCCAGAATATTTGGATGAAAACTGCAGCCTCTAGAGTGTTAACAAGCTTTTTCTATTTTTAGCTCCTGTGACCTAGTTTTTGACCGAAGATGACCCATCTTCGAACTTGACCTAGAAATCATCAAAACAACTTTCCTGACAAATTTCCAGAATATTTGGATGAAAACTGCAGCCACTAGAGTGTTAACAAGCTTTTTCTATTTTTAGCTCCTGTGACCTAGTTTTTGACCGGACATGAGCAATCTTCGAACTTGACCTAGATATCATCAAAACAACCTTCGTGACAAATTTCCAGAATATTTGGATCAAAACTGCAGCCACTAGAGTGTTAACAAGCTTTTTCTATTTTTAGCTCCTGTGACCTAGTTTTTGACCGGAGATGACCCATCTTCGAACTTGACCTAGATATCATCAAAACAACCTTCCTGACAAATTTCCAGAATATTTGGATAAAAACTGCAGCCTCTAGAGTGTTAACAAGCTTTTTCTATTTTTAGCTCCTTTGGCCTAGTTTTTGACCCGAGATAACCCATCTTCGAACTCGATCTGTATTTCATTGAGACAAACATTCTGACAAAGTTTGATGATGATCCAATCAAAACTGTGACTGCTAGACTGTTAACAACCCAATTGTTAGAGTGTTAACAAGCTTTTTCTATTTTTAGCTCCTGTGACCTAGTTTTTGACCGGAGATGACCCATCTTCGAACTTGACCTAGATATCATCAAAACAACCTTCCTGACAAATTTCCAGAATATCCAGTTGTCTCCCTTCACCCGCTTCCGGTGGAGGCCATTTTGTAAACAAAGTCAAAATATTTACAAAATCAAAGTTTTATGATATAAATAGACTATATATAAGCACAGACACGTAATATTACATTGGTACACCTCATCGATTATTGATCGCCACCATCTACGGTTCACCTACACACGTTTTATATTCT